TTAAATACCTTTTATAAATACATATATTATTATATATTTAGTATGACACTTTTTATTTGTGCAACTTACTGTGTTATATTATGATAATTTTTTTAACTTACAACATATAACTACATTAAACATAAAAATATCAATTGAGAAATACTTTTATTTTTCTAATGAATTTTAATAAATATTACTATTTATTATTATTATAAAAATAAATATAATTTATTTATTTCATATATACAATGTGGATGTCAAATCGAAGATCATCAAAAGATGATTAATTTGATATATTATATATGTAAAACCGATAAGAAATACAAAAGGTATCAATTTTTAAAATACATTTATAATTCAATAGCTTATTGAAGGAAACAAATCAAAATTCAGGGATATATTAGTCACTTAGTGCCTCACTATGTAAAATTACAAGAATTAAAGGGTTATATTAGTAAAAATAATATTAAAATACCTAAGTTAGCTAAATAATATTTATAAAATACCCGAACCTAGATTATTAATAATTAATTATTAATATATCAATATTATTTATCCAAACCTAATTACGAAGCATGATTCTTCGCCAAATAGGATTCCGAAGCACCAGAAGCAGCCACGTAGGCTCAGCGCATTCTGGATTTATATATAGGGAGGATAGTATAACACATGTTTAATGATAATTTTACTTTTCCACTTATAAATTTTTGAGTCGAGCTCGAGCATTTTGATTTCGTGTCGAGCTTGAGTCGAGGTCGAGCTATTGTATTTTCTTATTGAGTCAAGCTTGAGCCTCATAAATCGAGCTTGACGAGCTCGAACTCGAGCAACTAAAAAAAATCAATCTTGCTCGATAATACCGATACTCGACTCGCCTCGGCTCATTTGCAGCCCTAGCTTTGACCCTTAGAGGTGTTATACACAAAGTGTGGTTTGAATTACAACGCGAACCTATTAACTGATTGAAGTGTTCAGTTCGTACAAGAAGAACTAAAACAAAATAAAAATTACAACTCAAATGCGGACAGATTGAAAGCCGAGGCGATTGAAATCTTTCTGCAAGACAAATACGCCCCGTATAGTGCTGACGGGTCTTGCGTAATGTCCCCAAAGATACAACGGCAATACACTCGGAAGTTGTAGCACACCAGCCTTCAGAGTTCCAGCGAACGGATTCGAAGACGAGAACTGAGCACTATGATATGATGCGTGAGGCTATGAGAGTATTCAGATTGCATGAAAATGTTGTGTACTTTTCTCTGCAGCTCTAAGTCCTATTTATAGGACTTCCACATCTTGACGGAAACCAACAGTCACATCTGCCACTTAAGGCAGAGATAATAAGTCAAAAAACGTTTTTGGTGTTACTACACCATTAACCAGGTGTTAAGATATATAGTGATTGGGCCCAAGGCCCAAGCGCCCAAGGCCGCCCAAGTCCAATTGCCAAGAACCAAGGACCAAGGCCCAATCCCGGGCCCGTGCCCGAGCCGATCGGCCAGCCTACCGGCGGCCGCGCGCGCCCGTGTGGCCGAAAACAACACCAACACTTGGTGCATAGTTTTGTGCTTGTTGTAACCTCTACAACTCTCTTTATTATATAATAAAGAGAGTTAAACTCATTTAAGAGTCCAATGTGGGAGTGACTCTTGACCCTTCAAATCCCACAACCAACGTTTTACGTGCCATTTTATGGCTAATTTTAACAATTTATTTCTCACTCACCGAAAATTAGTTTTGAGAAAATAAATATACCAGGAGTATCTACTCGGAACGTAGAATTTTTCTACAATATTTAATTCAACTCAAATTAAATATTTAGCCATAAAAAATTCAGTCAAAACTGAGTCAAACTCAAATTTTATAACTGATTTTTCCAACAAGAGAATATCAACCACAATCACACAAATATTTATTGGCTATTTATGTCCAAACACAAATGTCATCACATTTTATTGCTCCCACACCGCTGCATAGTCTTTAATGAGGAACCATAGAAAAAAAACTAATTAATTTGATCCAAATGTGGTCCACACTTTTTGATCGGATTTTTTTCACTTTGAGTATGGACTATGGTTCTAAAATTCGGTCTTTGATTACCTGCAAAACGTTCAAAGGCGTTCCTAATATAAGTGATATCAAGTGAAGTGCTAAACAATAAATTTAATAGAGTTATAAGTATCATCAATAATATTGTATTAAGGTTTTGAAGTGAACCTATATAGGCAATCACATTAATATGTTCTCTAAATAAAAGATTACTTATAGCTTTTGATCATTCGATATGTTTTACCTCATTCGATATTTTCCACATGAACCGAGCAAGTGTAAGCTATGTCATATCAGGTCGGGTGAAAGAATTGTTTTCTTAAATGACAATAAAATGAATGTTTTCTATTATCAATGATATATTAAAGTGAAACAAAATTTTAATCTACTTAAATTTTGTCATTTAGACACAAAGAATGAAATGAGCTGCTCAGAAATTTCAAAGTTTTCAATTGAAAATAACAGATGTAACAGATTTTTAATAGTTACATGATATAAATGCATAGATCTAGTGAGAGTACGACTGATTGATATATAGACGTACTTTTTCAGCAGATATACATATTTTCAAATTGAAATGCTATAGTCTAAAAAATAATATAAACAAAATTATGACTCGTCTAATGGTTAGACCGCTTCGACAACAATTTATGTGAGTGAAAATGCTCGATGTTATGTAGAACATTGACATTTTTTTCTGACGGTAAGATTAGAAGGAAAATAAATGAAAACAAAAGGAAGTTAAAAAAAAAAAAAGGAAGAAAGCAACTCTTCTCTATCCTTATTGACTTGAGCGTCGGAGGTTTAACGCCGGGAACACCTCCCGGTGTCTTTGTAGGTCTTTGAAAGCTCAAACAGTTGAGGATCGGAGGAGAGCCGGCTCGAGGTGCGGGAGCACCATCAAAAACGATGGAGGCAAACTACAAAATTATCAATGCACGTGATCACCCAGCAGTTTGCATGAGAATGATTTGATTGTATTAGAGATAAAGTTTAATTATATAATTTTTTTCCTATCCTAAAATATAAAAAACCTAAAATGGTAAGCAAATAAATTCAGGTAGATATAGGAAGGCCCCAAACTGTCAATAAGAGGGCCAACACCCAAATGGGCCTGGACCCCACGTTGTCCTTTCTCACTAACACACGGCCCAATGTCTCGTGGCCTGTCCCCAACTCCCCACACCCCACATGAACCTTAAACAGATCAATTTTATTTTATTTTTAATTTTTATGACAAGAAATAAATTAAGCTACAGCCTACATATGTCTTATTCTATTTTGAACCACTTCAACAGTTTGTTTCAAATTGCCATTTTTGAGTGTTTACATAAATTGCTAGCTCCTTATAAGTTGTACATGCAATACTTTTAAAAGAGTACATAAAATGCAACATCGGACATTTTTTTTCAACCAAAAATAGATTGAAATACATTATAAAAATTGAATTAATAAAATGAAATACATTGTTGTACAATGCATATATAAAATTTTGGGAAATGTTACAGTCCCGTTATGGAATTATTCCGTCGAGATTTGTAATCGTTAAATCATCATGTAACTGTCATGGATAGTTGATCTAACGGTTAAAAACTCCGACATAATGATTTCGTAATAGGACCGTAAAATCTGTCATATAGATATCTACTAGTAGGCAAGCCAAATAATCATTATTCATTAAATTATACTCTAAAACTTCAAATAGACACACCTAAAACCCTAACCCGGTCCCCACTCAATTCCTCCATGATAAATACCTTCAGAACCCCAACATAGTCCTTCACAACCACCTCTCAAATTCTACGTTACAAATTCTCCAATTCTTTTTCGACCCATTCCAAGAAAGTAAAATAAAATAATAATACTAAAATAAAAATGGCGATCAAGAAGTCGAACAAGCTAACACAAACCGCGATTTTGAAACAAATCGTGAGAAGGTGTTCGAGTTTGGGCAAGAGAAACGGGTACGATGAAGATGGGCTCCCGGTAGACGTTCCGAAAGGGCATTTCGCGGTGTATGTGGGCCAAAACCGAGCCCGGTACATTGTACCCATCTCGTTCTTGGGACGCCCCGAATTCCAGGGCCTTCTCAGGCAGGCCGAGGAGGAATTTGGGTTTGATCACGACATGGGTTTGACCATCCCTTGTGAGGAGGTTGACTTTCTTTATCTAACTTCCATGCTGAGGTGAACAATAAAGGAGGGGCAAATTTGTTACCCAAAAAAAAAAAGCATCCTTTTTCAACATCTTTCTTCAGTAATTCCAATTTAGTTGTAATTTTAATTATTTTATTTTATTTGATTTTTTATTTTTTTGGGGTTTTTTTTTTT